CATCTCTACGTGTGACTCTAGCCTGAGCCGCCATCATCTCATACTTTGGTAATTGCTATTGAGGTCACTTCATTCACCTGTTTCCATATTGGCCTCGCTCTTACCTATTCTTTTCCTAACATCAACGTGATCCTTCAAGAATGCAAAACTAACCAAATCAACCCGTTCCACATTCATATGACTTCTCACATTCCGTGACTTCTCACAGTTTTGTGACTAAGATCATTAAGGGGTCTACCAGGCCCTGCCCCATCTCCAGCCTCATCTTCCCAATCTCCCCTCATGCCATACTGGCCAAACTGGCCTTCTCTCAGTTTTTCCACCCAAGGGCCTTGAAACGCACTGTTGCCTCTGATTGGAACATTCTGCCTCACTCCTTACCTCAGTAATGTACGTTCGTCCTTCAGCTCTCAGCTAAAATTTTATTTCTTCACAGGTGCTGTTCCTAACTTACCAGTCTAAATCGGGTCCCTCCCTCTGTCATTAGCCCCACACTACAGTTACTTTTCCTTCTTAACACTTACCCTGATTTTAATGACTTCTTTACTTGTTAATGTCACTTTCATGCCAGATTATGAACTCCAGTGAGATGGCGTCAATTTGCTCTACTGCTGTGGATCACCAATCCCTAGTATCAAGCTGGGCACAATATTGATGAGAATTCAAATAAATAGGTCTGCCCTGAAATTCAGCGGTTTCCAAGTGAGTGCTTCTGTCTATTCCCCTAACACATCTTCATCTGTTTCATTTATTTGTTCTTATTCTTCTGTGTGTCCATGTCCCAAGGTTCTACCTCCACTCCTCTATGAATAACTCTTGTCCTTTGACCTCATTAATAGTTTTTATACTGATTACCTCAAGCATGTGACTCTATCCCTGCTCTGAGGTAGATGTCCATTAACTGCTGCCTGTGCGATCCCTGCAAATTGTCACTCTGGTCGGCCCCGCTTCACATTGTACTTCAGCATCCTAATCGCATTCTATCTCCAAACTTTGACGGCACCTTCCTCTGCATCACCTATCCTCCCTACCTCCTCCTCTACCCCTAAAATATCACACTGCAGTTCCTTTCTCTCTGCCCCCACCCGCTCAGGAATCATCTTCATCCAGGCCTCTCACCATGTATAAATCCTTATCCAGACCTCATCTCACTACATAAGCCTTTTCACTCTTACCTTTAAAAATGCTAGACTCTCACTGTCACTCACTTTCAGCCCTCAGCCTGTTCTCATGCTGTCTCTGCCATTAGGAATGTTGGCAGTCTCATCTCATCGTTGCCTGACGTGGGGGTGGGCAGGGGGTGAAAGATGGGGAAAGGCTATAATTTATTAAGTACATATTATAATTCTAGCACTGTGACCAGGTATTTTATATGCACAGTGTAGGTATATAAATGTGGACATTCATGGGGATAACAGGGACCATTTCTACAGAGCTCTTGAAGCCTGCAGCGTGTGTCCTCACAGAAATGACAGATTTGTAAGAGAGACTGCCAGCTGCCCTCTGTGGGGGATTATCATGTTTTCTTTCCAACAGAACTTCCATGCTCTCCTGAAACACACTCTCAAGTGACTTCCTGGTGCCAGTTCCCCTGTCCCTCCTGGTCTGCAACTTGGGCCATGCCCAAAAGCCAGAGTTGCAGGATCCTTGATCATCTTCTCTCTAACCTTCCTTGTGTCAAGATCACAGAAAGGCCTAGCACTGACAGACATTGAAGGCTTGCTATCTGCCTCTCCCTAGTGAGGCTGTCTGAGGCCCATGTCTAGAAACTCGAGTGCTTGTTTTATATAGTTCCAAAAGAAGAGGAGAGAAAAAAAGGCTTGGACTGTTGCTTAAAAATGTAATTAACATCGTATTTTAACAACATTTTGACAATAATTGCTTTCCAACAATGCTGAGAAACCTGCAGTGCAGACTCCCTGGTGCCATTGTCAGAGTGAGTGATTCTGAAAGCCCCATGTACACTGGAAACAGAAGTGGCAAGAGATGGTCTGTTCCTAAGGCTTGTTTTCCATTCTCCTTTAGCTTGGAGGCCATGTGTGGCTTATGTTTAGACTCACCTACAGCTAACCTCTTAAAAAGGGTTGGGTTTGCTCTGACCCATTTCAGAGAGGAAGGTTGAAATAAGATGCCTTTCTACTGATGGAGTGATTTAGAAATTCCTTTTATTTGGGACTGGTCCTACTCAGAGCCTTCTCTCTCTCTCTCTTAATTTTAACTTTTCAATTAGAGTTGACATTCAATATTATTTTATATTACTTTCAGGTGTATAGCATAGTGGTTAGACATTTATATAAGTTACAAAGTGATCGCCCCGATTAGTCTAGTACCACCTGGCACTACACATAGTTATTACAATATTATTGACTATATTCCCTATGCTGTACTTTACATTCCTGTGACTATTTTGTAACTACCATTTGTACTTCTTACTCCCTTCACATTTTTCACCCAGGCCCTCAACCCGCTTCCCATTGAGTAACCACCAGTTTGTTCCTCATGACCTTCTTTTTGCAATGCCTTTCAGTGACCCGGTGAGTTTAGAGTTCTTATACCTCCCAGGCAACAGGAAAAGCAGAGAGTCTCCATCTCCCGAAGTGGAATCTGGTCCAGGAGGCCTCATGCTCAAGGTCAATATGACTCCTTGATAGAATTGGACTTTAATCTTTGGACTCTGCTTTCTAAGACAGTGGTCATGAAACCAGCAGTTTGCTTATTTTTAGCAGGTAAATCATTTTTTCCCCTTCGTTTTTTGAGGGGCATATTTACCAGGGACCACTGGTTTACATTTTTAAGATCGAACTAAGATGAGTGATTGTGATAATTCATGTGTGAACTGTTCTCCCTCACTAGTGGCCCAGTCCCAGGCCAGGG